AACCACCGGGGGCTCGTGCAAATGGTTTTTGGACTTGTTTTTCCTTGTTTTCAGCTCGTCGAAGGGGCTTGGGCGCGACGCGACCGCGTCGACCCACCGTCTGACTCCCTCCTCCCCCTAGCTCTACCTCGGCTGGCACGCCGGCACGCCGGCGAACTATGAAAGCAGCCAGTCACGCGCGATCGGCTGAGACACTTAGGTATTCTTAGCTAGTTCCCTTGTCGCACAACCGAGACAGTTTTGTTTTCGTGGAGCATGTCATTCCTCCATTGCAACTGCCACCCTGCTTCTGTCAACATTGTTCTCGAAACATCAGAGAATCATGGACTCGTATGGGCTGTTTCGATTGAAACGCAGGTGATCTCGATCCAAACACAGACCTGTGGCTGGCCATCTAAGCTGTACTTACTAGAGCAGAAGTAGTAGAGTTAAAGAATCGAAGACAATGAGATAGGTATCTGTAAAAGAAAAATTCATTCCAGGGAAAACGATCACTCCGCTACTTCGACGACGCCTACCGCCAACCAAGAAATCCCTACTCATGGTTGTACACGATGTTTGACAAGCGAGCTCGTAACCCGTACAGCTGGATGAACGAATGATGGAACCCCTAGCACACAGTACATCTTCATCTCATCCTTCTCCCAAACGTCCACCACCGCCCATTACCTATGTACACGTTCCATGCCCATTTACTGTTCAGGAAAAAGCTAACTTCAAGCCCCTATGAGCATTTGCTTGCGCATCGTTGTGAAACAGTTTCAAACATTGATCTCATTTTCAAAATTCTGGTAGTTTTTTATGAGGAATGCTATAACATGATCTCTTTCTGGATAAATATGTTCACTGTTATGGTGATTACCGTAATGAATGTCTGTGTTACTTTTACGCTCTAGAAAACTCTTGTGATAAAGGAAACGTCGAGAAAAAAACATTGAAATGCGTTTGAATTAGAGTGGATGGTTCCTGGGACAGCTTACAACCGCACTGTGGGGGCGAGGAAAGGGGCCGTGGTGAAACCGGCCACCTCACTTGTTCTGTTGCCTCCGAAGTTGAGCAACCCCTCGATGCTGTTGGAATTGACATGGGTGATTTGTTGAGGCTCCTACTCGAAGGTTCACGGTACTTTTGAGGTACCCTTTTCAACTCGAAAAGGAAGTATTGGTTGGAACTAATGCATCGGTGATGCAGGAAGAGAAAAGATTGGCCGATTTTATGAAAATAAAGATCCTGAAAAATAGTGGAGATAGAAGTTCACGAGGTTACCATGACGAAAACATGGAGGGTGTATCTGGACGAGATTTCAGTTGTTGCAATTGCGCCAAGAGCTTATTACATCAAGTCAAAACTGTCCAGAATTGCCTTTCAATGTCGCTATGAGTCATGGGAAGTTGTTTGAACATTCTACATGGATTCCCTTACAATTGGTACAGCCCCTATAGTACCGTTGAAACTCGTCCGCGCGCAAACAGCGAATGATCTTCGCGTCTTTGTTGCACAGCTCACGATAATTTTGTAGTATCTGGTCTTATGTTAGAAGAAATATGGAGGTATAATCCAAAATCATGTGAAAACGGTTAAGAGATGACGAAAATTGGCATATTCAGAGAAATGCGAAAATTGGTGTATTCAGAGAAATATGAGGCTTCGAAAATTATTAAAATCATGGGTTCGACGAAAATGTGACGACAAAAGTAGCATGGAAGGCGGATTGGGAGGCGAACTGTCCAAATTTATGTGCCATTGCTTACCGCCGGATACAGAAAGCCGCCTACGCACAAGGTGTGCGTCCCGACACGAATGGTGCAACCTCCACAGCCTCTACAATGCCGTGAGAACTCGTCCGCCTTAGGCAAGGGCCCCGGCTACGACGGTTTTGAAGCCTTTATTAATCCTTATTCCGGTCATTTTTCTACCAGACAGCGTTCCATGTGCTATCTTGGGGGTCACAGGCATACGGTAGTAAATATGTATATATCAAGAAAAATAAATTCATTGGCAAACAAATTTGCAAATAAACGATTTAATACGAGGTACCCGAATAGTATGAACAGAAAAAGAAAGAGATCGAATAAAATCAGCACAAAAAGTAACATAGAATACAGACGTCGCAATGGACTGTTAAAATAATGTACATATATTATAAAGATACATCTGTTCGTCAGGCTAAAAATTGGTGGTTCTATCATGAAAATGGTCTCATACAGAAAAGACCGGAGTTTTTAATCGTTCGCGTAGGGAACATACTACATACATATGATATCGAGCTTTTTAACCCTTTTGAATCGGCAGTATCTTCTGATGATGGGCATCGTGGTGATTCTTACGGTTTTCTGCTTTTCGCTTCGTTATCTGGCTTCTTTTTCTCGATGACTACATTTCCTGAAAGAAAACGTCATGAAAATGGTCCAGGAATGAAGGCCAGGGGCTATACTCATGTAGAACTGAGAAGGTCACCTACCTAAGGCTGGATAGACGTTCAATCCCTCCCGAGCCACTTTACCGCGTGCTCCGATTGGAACCAGACGCTCATGAGATCTTCGTGGTTTCCGATCGTAGAACTTAAACCGAGCAGCAGCCCAACGAATACCATATATTGTTCGCAATTGATTTCGATACCTGGAAATTTTCTTGGAATCCCTTATTTCCGGTAAAAAGAATTCAAGAGTTCCAGGACATTTAAACCATATTTTCTCTATTAATAAAGTGTATCAATTCTGAAAAAATGTTTTTGGTTGAGGCCACAGGGACAGGGTCTTTCAGAAATAGGGCGGGTTACTTAGAGGAATCTACACCCGAAAAGTTTGTAAGGATCTAAGGACCATTTGTTCGGATATTTGCTGATTTCGAAAGCTCAACGTGCTATCTTTTGACTTAAATGGCTCTACACTCAAAAAATAATCCTATTTGAAGCAAAAGAGCTCCCTTCTCCCATTCTGCTTTGCAGCTGACTAGGCAAAAATGGGTGGGCTCAACCTCGTCGGAAATCGTGTTTCTGGCGCATCTCAAATCTCCTCGGGAAAGGATGGAAAGGATTGATGGTTCTATTACTGCCCGGCTACTACTACGGCTTTCATATGGATTGATGTCTCAACTTGAAAGATGTTCACTCACCTGGTCGAATATTTTATGTAGAAAACAAATGGCGATGATGTGTTTACCACTACCAATATATTGTTGATATCATTTAATAAATAGCCAATAGGATGGCGAAATAAAGCAGAAAATAGTATTTCGGCAACGTTCAGAATAAATGAGAACGTATAGCAGACGAGGAATACTGTAACATCATGTTCAAAGATGGTCAGCAGCAAAAATCAATTATCGATTAGTTGACATACCGATTACGACAAAGATCATCATCTTTGCGGTGTTATGTTCACGCTTTTCAGATGCTACAAGTTCACGACGTTGTTCAGTGGCCATCAAAATCGTACGTGCCACCTTAAACGTTATATCACTGATTAGATCATTAGAAATATGTGAAGCCACTGCCAAATTTGGAAACAAAATGACCTAAGGGACCTGGGAGAATTCGGATAATGGTTGAATNAAAGCGGAAACACAATGGTTAATCAGCTTCCCAACAGGGCAGGAAAGCAGGAAGCCGTATGGGGGTCTGGCATTCGACTTGGTTGTCCACACTTCGAGGGGAATAAGGTCAAGGATCAGAGATTGTATTTATGTAGGAGTTAGAATCCCTCCACTAACAAGAAGCTCTTCATTGGCAAGATATGAAAATTGTTTTCTCACACACACTGTTATTTCGTCATGCTCCAAGTTGTTGGTAACCCTAGTGCAGAACCTCTTACCCAGAGGTGTGGCTACAGCANTGAACTCACTTCAGTTAAAAGCGGAAACACAATGGTTAATCAGCTTCCCAACAGGGCAGGAAAGCAGGAAGCCGTATGGGGGTCTGGCATTCGACTTGGTTGTCCACACTTCGAGGGGAATAAGGTCAAGGATCAGAGATTGTATTTATGTAGGAGTTAGAATCCCTCCACTAACAAGAAGCTCTTCATTGGCAAGATATGAAAATTGTTTTCTCACCCACGCTGTTATTTCGTCATGCTCCAAGTTGTTGGTAACCCTAGTGCAGAACCTCTTACCCAGAGGTGTGGCTACAGCACTTTTAGGAATTTTTAAGTTAAAAATGCAGATAAAAGCTTCCGTTAGTAACTTGAAGTCAGCTAATTTTCATGCGCAAACTTTGGCAATTGGGGAGAGACTTCCACAAGTGGAATCGCACGCTTCGACTAATTGGAACTTCCATTTTCTGAATCATCGATATATTCTATTAGTCCGGTAGGCCGTTATTCGAAATATGGGCTTACAAGTTGAGAAGACGAAATCGCGCTATGCATCAAAAATTAATTTCCAAAACCATCAAAGGGTGTGGCGTATTCCTGTACTTGTAGTGACCAAAGAGAGTATTGCAAGCTACTGCGTACTCAGGTCTATTGGCAGTCATCCCCTTATTTGTAGATAAGCCCCATTTATGATTATGATCAACCTTAGAACTCAAAGAAAAATATGAAAATATAAAAAAGCAGGTTAGGGCTATACTCACCTGCAAATTGAGGATACATAGCACAAGAAGAGGAAGGACGAATTGCGAGAGTAATGTGGCGATATTCTGATACCATAACATGAACAATGCACTGTCTCGGAGCAACGGTTGTACGATCGCCTCAAGAGACTCTGAAAACTCTCATTTTGTGAAATTGCGAAGAAATTTTCATTGTGGGACCCAAACTCACTCATACAATCTTTCACTGATCCTATGTGATTCAAATGGTAGCAACTCTTTTTTTTTTAGTTTTTCAAATTTTCTCTGTATTTTTATAAATCAATAAATCGGTCTATCGATTTATAGATATGCTGTCTTTCTGCAAATAGCACATAGGCATGGAAAGGAGAGTGACATGAAAAACCCCTCCGCTAACAGGGCCAAAAAACCCACTTGGGCTGCGCTATATGCTATCATTCTTGTGGTGATAGATATACACCAGTGATATCGATTGGCAATAGTCAATATTGATTTGCTATTCATTAGCTTGTGATCCTAATGTGTTGGAATCGGGGCTTAGGAGCTCATTTGAAATGCCCACAATAGAGAGTTCACAATGTTAAGAGAAAAAAAACGGTGGAAGCCGAAGAACCCGTAAAGGTTGTAGACGTACCTGCGCTAGATTCCATAATTTGGAACTCCCAAAATCGAACGAAGTTGTAAGCAATCGAGAACACCACAATGAGCAATACTGTCAGCAATGCTCGTGATCTGAAAAATATCAGTTTTTCATGGCAATGTGAACGAAACATTGAGAGAAGTTGCGCCATGCAATCTAATTCTGGTATGAATCGTCTATGCAATTGAGAAGTGGAGGTGCTTGCACTGCATAGAATAGCTGGAACCCGAGTTAAACTCACCGTGTACAATAACTGCCAACTTCAAACGGATGACATACAGCCAAATATCGATCGACAGTAATCGATACAAGTAACCAAACACTCATCGATTGAAACATCACGGTAATTGGATACGCATAGAACATGAACACTGCGATTGTTCGTTCAGAAACTGAATACCGTAAGAATGAGTTTTGCTGTGTGGGAAGATTACTGTAGAGACTGGCAGAAGATGCAGACGACCGCCATCAAAGACACTGCACTTACTTGGTAAGAAAAGTTGCAAATGGCTACTGCTGAAAACTGGAATCGAAAGCACGCATACTGAAAGGTCTGCAGCCGACAGTGCCGACAGTAGGATATTGATCGACCTAAAATTCAGGCTTAATTAACTGCATAATCGATAAACGATTGATTTACTACTTATTGATCCTCAAGCAAAAGTATTTTTGTTTAACTGCTTCCAGTATCATGACGCAATCCCTGATCTTAACTATCTCCATAGCCCATTGGACCCTGATGTCATTTATTCTCCCATCCCCTCCTACCAAAACCTTCCAATCAAAGTCAAACGGTTGGTAGCAAGTTGCTTAGCATCGGGAGAATTGTAACAACCTGGTATTCATTCAACTCCAATTACGGTTGTGAATGTACGGCGCAATCCGAAATGGATGGGCAGCTACCGTACGTTGCACTTCTCCTTTTCAATTTTTGTTTTTCATGGAATTATTCATCTTTTTTTGGATTGTTTTACTTTCGTTTAGAGCTTTTGTTGGTATAAAATCACTGGTAAACATTGAACCGATACCTTTTGCGGAAGGCAGGCCTCGTGTAGATGAACAGTGAGAGGGAATTGCCTACGACTCCGAACAGGCACAGCACAATCATAACAGCACCGCATATCTGTGACAGCAGGGATAGCAATTCAGGCGGTGCGGCGTCCATGATCTGAAAAGTGCTCATGAAGAGATACACTTGTACTATGTTAGGCACTGACGGTTAGGCCATGTTCACACTTGCACTGTTTCGGAGCAATGGCAAATCGACGACATGAATTAGATAGGTATCGATCGAATGAACTGGAGGCAAAGGTTCACGAAATGGTTTAGGCAAACATGAATTTCTTTTCTTTTTTCACAAACTGTTTTTGGCTATGAATCATGAGAGGGTCAATAATGCAAAAGTGGTTATGCCGATAGAAAAACACCCGGAGTTCCTCAACAAAATTCGCTCGCTCCCAGCGCCTCCCTCTTACTCATCCCATGCCTCCAGGAAAGCATCTATTTACGGAAGATTTGAAGGCGGTATTCCCGAAGCCTCCTTAGCATTTATCAAATCCTTATCCGATAAAGTCATCCGTACACCCCTTGCTAAATAGATAAATAGGTCCCTTAAGTCTGCAGCCTCCTTCCCATCCAGTATCGATGGGAGGGAAAGCGGAGGTGATGCGTATGTGCATGTGTATGCGACAGCTCAAACATAGGACATCCTTCAAAATGACAAAGCCTTTCTTTCCCTCCTGCCTATACAAAAATCACTCCCCACACCCCTCTCCCTCCATCGCATGTGTAGGCTTAGGACATAGATTTGAACATCGAACGAACTGCACGTTCCACATGACCTCCTAGTCGATATGTATCTAATACATGTCACTGATACTTCGAACATTCTCGGATGGCATAAGCGTGAGAAGACGAACGAATCTGACAACAACACGAGATTATGACGCGAAAACGCGGAGTTCATTTTGAGACTAAAGGAAAATAGCGATTTATGAGCCTTTCGAGAAGACCAAGCGGAACAAGCAACCATTAAAAAACAAAGAAAAAGTCAAGAAAGCAATTAGGCTGTCCACGAATGCGTCATAACAGCACTTTCACAGTTAATTTACATGAAGTACAGCCGTTTCTGGGAATGATTTGTTCTATTTACATGTAAATACGAAGAAGTAAACAAAAGAAAATATACATGAAAAGAACGACAATGGAATCAGTAGAAGGCAGATGGGCTTCACAACAACTTGCAACTTGATGGGTCAAAAGAATGTCAGTGGGGTAAACCGCTGGAGTTGTGGCATCATCGAAACAAGCTTGGGCATCTCTTTACTACATTTTGTCGTTGCAAATGTTCGAATGGTTTGTTTATAGTAATAAACATCCCCAGAAAAACAACAAGTGCGGTGCACTAAAGCGTAGCCATTGCCTGATTAACTGCTAAGCACTAATTAGTGTTCAAATAATGACATTTTGCTTTTTTTAGGAGGCCAAGTTCAGCAAAAGCCGTTTGTTTTCTCTGAAACTGCCCTTATTCAAGCTCAAACGAGATCAATAGAGAAATTTCTCTTCGAACACTGTCAAACCATGCTGCGACTCTTCTTCGATGCCTTCTTGATTGGTTGAGGTAGGATCGATATGTTCAGTTAAATTAGTATCGCTCATACTCACGCTAGAGTATAAACAGATATCCACATGAACAATTGAATGAAAAGTAACTGTTTTTCTCTGATTTTCTAGACTTTCGTGGAAAAAAATGCAAAAATTCTCATTTTTCCCGAAGAAAAAAGT